TTCAGTGCAGCAGCACTCGGGGCTGGTGAATCCCACCCTTGGCTGCTCCGAGGGGCACGGCTCGGCCTGGGGATGTGCTTGAGAAGGGGCTCTGGATGGGCTGGGGGTGGATCCAGGGAGAGGCGCTCCAGAAGGTGCTGGTTTGGGGAGGTTTGTGGGTTTGGAAGATGCTGGCTGGGGAGGGATGTGGGTTGGGTGACAGATGTTCATTCAGGAGATGTGGTTTTGGGAAGGATGCAGATTTTGGGAAGGGTGCTGGCTTGGGGGGTGATGCTGGTTTGGGAAAGAAGGAGATTTTGGGAAGGGTGCTGGCTTGGGGGGTGATGCTGGTTTGGGATGGATGTGGATTTTGGGAGATGTGCTGGTTTCAGAGATTTGCTGGTCTGGGAGCAACACTAATTTTGGGAGGGATAAGGGTTTGGAAGGTGCTGCTTTAGAGAAGGCTGTTTATTTGGAGGATTCTGATTTGGGATTGATGCTGGTTTGGAAAGGGTGCAGATTTTGGGAAGGGATGCTGGCCTGAAGGGATGCTGGTTTGGGAAGTGGTGTTTGTTTGGAGCATGCTGGTCCAGGAGGGATGCTGCTTTGGGGAGGGATGCTGATTTGGGGATGCTGGTTTAGGGAGGGATGCTGGTTTGGGGATGCTGGTTTAGGGAGGGATGCTGATTTGGGGATGCTGATTTAGGGAGGGATGATGCTTTGGGGATGCTGACTTGACTGATGCTGCTCTGGGACGAGATATTGGAGGGGAGTGATGGGGTTGGGGCTGGGAGAGAACCCCAGGTGCACAAAACCACCCCAAAACTCAGGGGCTGGGCTGCAGCACCGGGGTTCAGGGCAGGACCCTGTCCCCAAAGTGATCCATCAGTGCCACCCATGGCTCTCCTGCCTCTTTCCCCTCTTCTCCAACAAACCAGAAGGCACAGGAACCAGCAGGAGAGGGGGAGACCAAAAGAAAAGGCACCTTTGGGCTTGGCACCAGCACACTCGTGTCACCCATGGGCTGTCAAAAGCATCCACACAGGAAAAACACCACCAGGAACCCCCTGCCCCACCCAGCCACGAATATTCCTGTTCCCAAATCCCTTTTCCAGCCACACCGAGGGCAACCTCAGCAACGTGAAATCAATATGCAGAGAGGAATCCGGTGCCTGTGAGTATCCACCCTCTCTTTCTCCCCCTAAAAAAGGCTGGGACTGGCTCACAGTGATCAGGAGAGGTTTGTTTGGGGGGCTGGGAGGGGGATGGACAATGTGGGGGTGCTGCCAGCTGTGGTTCCACCTCTGGACTGGTTTTATCCTTTATTCACCTTCACATAAGTTGGGGAATTGAGGCAGAGAACCATAAAAATCAGCCTGGACATCACTCGGGATGGTTAACATGTTTTTCCCCTGCTCCTCATTAGTTTCCCTCATTTTCTCCCCGTCATTAACATCCCTTTTCTGCTGGACAAACACTCCAGCCCCGGTTAGAGTGAGGGGAATTCCACCCTGGGTGGGGAAGGGGCTGCTCTGCTCCAGCATCCCAAAGGAATCCCACTGCAATCCTCCCTGGAAAACCTTTGTGTTTGTTTCAGAGTGCTTTGAAAAGCTCCACAGGAAGCAGGGAGCAATGCTGGAGGGGGGCAGAGCACGGCTTTGCCCCCCCCGGGGAAACTGAGGCACGCAGGGGAGCATTTTATGGATCAGTGCTGGGGGAGTCCCAGCTCCTGCCGTGTGATTTTGGAGCACGGACCAAGCCGGGGGTGACAGACCTGGGCTCTGGGGCTTCTGCTGGGTAAAATGAGGGCGATTTCCCCCCCTCACGGGGGGCTGAAGGTGGCCACAGCCCCTGACTCAGCTCGCCCTGGGACCGAGGGAGCGGCGAGTTCCCAGATTTGCCCCGTGACGCTGAATCAGCCCCGCGGGGCAGCCCTGGGGGATTTAATGACCGCTATCATTAGCACCAGCCTCGATTCCCCATCCAAACCCATCCCTGCACAGCGGGAGCCCAAACCCACTTGCGTTGCAGGGCCGAGGAGGACGCAAAACCCCTCGGCTGGGAAAACTTTTCTTTAAAAGAACCCCAAATGTCAGCTCTAAATTGGGTGTTACGCGCTCGTGCTCCGTCTCTTCATTACTGTATCGTAAAATTACATTAGGCAGGAACGATCTGCATTCAAATGACTCTGTGTCTGGAATGATAACGCAGGAATATGAGATTAAAATGTAATTATGCTCTTTAAAGTCAAGGAAGGTTAATAAAATGTTTTTCCAAGTTGCAGAGGCTCCGCAGCCGCAACGCAGAATCACTTACAGGAATCAAGGGGAGGATGAGGTGGGAACGGGGAGGGGAAAATGGGTAGAAAACACAAAAAGGGGGTTTTGAGGAGGGAAATACTGGGGTCACCTGGGGTGATAAGTGAACGCAGGGGAATGGGATTCCCAGGGGTAGGCAGAGCCAGCCCTGCTGGGCTGTGATGCTCCCTGGTACCCGAGGTACCCATCCCACATCCTGCTCCCGACACAGAGTCCTGCCCCAAATCCTCCAGCAGCAGCCCCAGGGTCCCTTCTCTGTGTCTCCAGCACCGAATTTGCTCTGCCAGGTCCCTGCCCTTCCCCAGGCCCTTCCCCGGAGGATGCCCCTTGGTTAGTGCTGATCTAACAGCACTCCAGGGTGTGGCCGTGCCCTGGCATCCATCAAAGGCTTCACCTGCGCTGGGAATGGGGCAGCGCCCCCAGATCTGCCCCTTTGCTCAGCCAAAATGCGGCCCCAGCTCTTGCAGACACCAGCAAAGGGGCTGGGGCTGCCAGAGGGGCTCAGCCATGGAATCTTTGAGGTTGGAAAAGCTCTCCAAGATCACCGAGTCCAACAGTTCCCCCAGCACTGCCAAGGCCACCAACAATCCGTGTCCCCGAGTGCCACATCCACACAGCTTTTAAATCCCTCCAGGGGTGGGGACTCCAGCACTGCCCTGGGCAGCTGTGCCAGGGCTGGACACCCTTTCCATGAAAAAAATCTTCCCAAATATCCAATCTGAACCTCCCCCTTCCTTCATTAACAGCGGGAGCTTCGTTAGCTCTGGAGCCCCCAAGGAGGTTTGTGAGCCCTTCTGGAGGCAGGGAAGGGATGGAGGTGATGGAGCTTGGCTGCAGCACACAGAGCTCCCAGTGCCAAAGTTCAGCTGGGATAGATGAGAGGGGCAACATCCAAACCAGATCCAGCACAGGATGCTGGAAAATGGGATCAATGTCACTGATCTGTGCATTTCCTGCCTTTGCCGAGGCTGGAGGGGGACGCAGCAGGGAAGGAGAAACTTCTGGAAGATGTCACATGGAGAGGGTCAGGCTGGCGAGGGAGAGCTCCCTGCTCCTGCCTGGGAGCTCTGATGCTCCTCAAATGGATCTGTCACTGTCACCGTGACCCCGTGGCTGACGGGGGGTTAATGGCTGGGGGAGGGGGGATCCTGCACCTCCTCCCCTCCCTTCATGGATAAAGATGCTCCTCTGCTTCCCTGACAGCTGGAAAACAGCTTTGATGCCTCTTTAAAGGCAGCACAGCCAACGTCAAGATTGGCTGGGGCACTGCTTTGATCATTTCCATGGCCAAATCCATCCTGCTGGGATGTGGATGTCACGCAGGGAGGTCACTGACCAACAAGGGATGGATTTGTCCAAAAAATGCTTGAATTAGAGGAAATTGCTCAGGCTGCAATCAGTTCCATTCCCCAGCTCCCAGGGAGAAGACAGGCTTGGTGCTGGGAGTAAACATGTTCCATGTGGGAGCTGAAGAGGGATTTCTGTGGGTCCAGGCAGAGGAAGCCACGGAAATTCCTGGCTCTGTGTCACCACCACCTTGGGGTGCAGAGAGGGGCCCTGCTGCCCACAGGGCTTTCAGTGCCCTGGGATAGGGGCACTCACACCCAGCTGGGGCAGGTGGTCCTTCCCTGAGCTCCAAGGTGTGGGTGCAGAGGGAAACTCATCCCTGGATCCCCTGCAAGAGGAGACACAGCAGGTGAACTGTGCTGCCAAGGTTCCCGGAGGGTTAAGGAGGAGAAATTGGGGGATGAGGGCTCTGAGAAGCTGCTGTGAGGTGGAGATGAGCAGGGAGGAGCTCTGTTGAGACCTGATGTCCCAACAACCGCCCCTTCCTTCCGACCCCTGCTCCCTGTGACCCCTGCCCCTCCCTGCAGAACAAAGGGAACCTGGAGATAATTTGGGAGACGGCTCCCACCTGGATCCCTGCCCACTGGCACGACACCACAAGGAACTTTTGGGCACTGGAGAAGCTTGTCAGAACCAAACTTGGAAGCATCCAAGCTTTGCTGGCTCTGGAGAAGGTGATGGCTCTGGATCCAGAGGCAGCCATCCATCCATCCCCCCTTCCCTGGGGGAGGTGTGAGAACTGAATCACCCCGGGATGGCTCACTGCAAACACGACACCACCACTGCAATGGACTGCATTTACTGCCTGCAAATCGTGGGGTTTTTAGGAATTCTGTGCCTATTTTCTAAGTGTTTATTATTTTAAGACGTGTGATTTTCTATTTTTGCTGGGAATGGAGACGGGCTGTAAAGTCCTGCTGACGCAGGCAGGGAGCAGGATCAGCGTGGGGCCGGCACAAAGCCGTGATCCACTGGATGAGCAGGAGCACAGCGCTGCTCAGGTGCCTTCTGAGAGCAAACACAGATGTGACCAAGGTGAGCTGAGTCAGGTTCGTTATGGCCCCGAACATCCATTAAGTGGCAGCAGCAGGGGGCTGTAGGGGTGACAAACCCTTTGATGTCACCCTGGCATATCCAGGACAGAACATATCCAAGTCATTTTTTGTCTGGCTTTTTTCTGAGCAGCTCTCTGAAGCCCCCTGGGTGCAGATGTCAGAGTGTCACCCCTGTGATCCACGAGGCTGCTGCCACAACCCCTCTGAACCGCTGCTCTGCAGCTCCTCTGTTTTGTTTGGCTTTTTCCAGCCCGTTTATTTCCTCCTCTGCCGAGAGACTGACTCCACGACATCACCAAGCCCCAGGATGAGACCAGTCAGGAGCCAGAGACAGAACCTGACTTTAAACATTTTATTAAGGCTTAAATGTCTATCAGCCAGCCAGGAGCTGGGCTGGTCACACGACATAAACCGAGAGGGTGGGATGGGATGGCTTTTCTACAAGAGTCTGGATGAGCAGGGTGAGATCACTGCCAGCTCCTCACACCCCAACCACGGCCTCTCGCTGCTGATTCCAGGGCTGGAGACACGCTCCCAGCAGGGAGGGGAGGGTGAGGTGGGGAAGGGGAGGAAGTCAGAGGGGGCTTTGTGTGTGTTGTCACTCACAAGGACTTTACCTGCTCCACAACCGGGTGGCTGCTGGTCAAACGTGGCGTGAACTCGCAGGGGAAGCTGAGCTGGTCCGAAAGGCACCTGTGCTAAACCTCTGAGCCCCGGGGCAGTGGTGACCAGTCCTGGATAAATACATATTCCTTGATAAAGAAGCTATGGCTTTTGTCATCCTCGGGCTCCGGCGCTGCGCTCTAACCCCCCACCCCCCGCTACTCTGTAAGCACAAGGCCGAGTCCTCTCCGCTCGCCGGCTCTCCCGGCGGCCCCTCCGGCGGATCCGTGCGGACACGGGGCACAGCAGCAGCTCCTCCTCGTCCCCCCGGCAGCCCTGGGGGTCAGAAGTGAACTCTCCTGACGTCCTGTGTGGCTGCTGCCCTCTTGCAGCTCCCGCAGTGGATGGGGGACACCGGAGCCTTCTGGCGCTCGGCCAGGCAGGGCCGGCACAGCAGGTGCCCGCAGGGGAGCTGGTACACGGGCTCTGCCTTGAAGTAGCAGGAGAAGGATTTGCCACAGGAAGCACATCCCTGGGTCTGGCTGCTCCTGCCGTGCTCTGCAAATCCAGAATCACACAATCAGCAGGCTGGAAAAAAAAACCACTTCAGAGATCATCGAGTCCAGCCCATGAGCCAACACCAGCATGTCCAGTCTTTCCTGCTGACTCCACCACCTCCCCGGGCAGCCCCTTCCAACGTCTGACCACCCTTTCTGTGAAGAAAACCCTCCTCATGTCCAGCCTAAACCTGCCCTGGCACAGCTTGAGAGTATAAAACAACAGGACAGGAGAAGTGGGCTAGGCAGGGAGTGTGAGAAGCCCAGTCTGGGCCAGGTCCTGCAGGCTCAGGGCACAGCTCTCAGGACTGTGCCACTTCCCTGTCATTTCCACACGGAAAGGGAATGGCCCAGCTTCCAGGGCAGGGTGTGCTCAGAAAGGGACGGATCACATCAGCACTTGCAATGGGCTTTTCACTTTTACTGAGACTAAATCATCCTCCCTCCTGCTCTTCCGAGCGATTCCCAGTGGAACAGCTGAGGTGTCACTCTGCATTCCTGTCACACACGACCCATCCAGGCCCACCCAGCCCTCAAACAGCAGCACTTTTAGAGGGGGCAGGAAAAAGCTTAAGAGCTGAACATCACTGTGAAACAGCAAAAGCTGTTTGGGGAGGGGGAGAGAGGGGAAAAACACACAGACAGACAGACAGACACACACAGCCCTTCCCAGGGTCACCTGGTCCCTCTGATGTCCCTTCTCAGCCATGAGCAGGCAGAGCCTCACCCAGGGGAAGAGCAGCCAGGACACGTGGAGGGACATCTGAAGGTTCAATGCTTCCCTGCACCCCAAAGGAATAATTTTGGGAATGCATACAGAGCTGGATGAGTGGCTGGGCAGCAGGTGGGATGCAAACAGTGAGGGCTTGGTAGCCTGGATCATGTGCACTCAGTCCTGATGGGATTCTGGGCACACTCACACCTGGCTGGCCTGGGATGCTGCTGCTGCTGTGACCTGCTCCTGCTAAGGGCTGGATGTCACAAGGTATTGCAAAGAATCATCCAGTGGTTTGTGTTGGAAGGGATCATAAAGCCCACGCCACGGGCAGGGACACCTTCCACTATCCCAGGCTGCTCCAAGCCCCATCCAGCCTGGCCTTGGACACTTCCAGGGGTCCAGGGGCAGCCACAGCTTCTCTGGGCACCCTGTGCCAGGGCCTCACACCCTCACAGGGAGGATTCCAATATCCAATCTCACCCTACTTTTAGTTTACAAACATTCCCCCTTGTCCAGTCATATCTGTCTATACAAAAAGTGACTCTCCCTCTTTTTCCCAAGGCCCTTTCAAGCACTGAAAGGCTGCAGTATTTGCTGCATTTAAACCTCTCCTGCAGCACCTCCACACCAGACTCATTCTCCACCCATGTGGCAGCTCCCCAGCTTGCTCCACACAGCTCAC